GCCCCAACGGCAGCCCTGTCGGGGCGGCCCGCCCCATCAAGACGGAACAAGCGGCTGTGAGCCCAGAGGTGCGGTGACCTCCGTCGCCTCTGAGCCAGGAAGGGCATGGGAATCAGCCCTGGGCCGTCGAGGAAGGGGCGGACCACGCACTGCGCGCACTGCGCTTATTTTGGAGCGAAGTCCCCCGGAGAGGGACCTGTGAGGACTTCCCGTCGGGGGAAATGGCCGGGGATCTGGAGGGCGGGCGACCAGAGGGTCTGGAAGGAGCCCTGCAGACCCTCTTATCACCCACCGCCCGCGGGAAGCCGCCTTGCCCACACCCTCCTCCCGCAGGCGAGGTCCAGGAACGTCAACATGGCAGAGCGGCCGTCGGACCTAAGTGGTGCCTCTTTTTTTTTCCTGGGTGAGGGGCTCACGGAGAGGTGGGGAGGGGCTGGGAGGCTTCCTCTTCTCGCCGGCGGCGCCCCCTCCTGGAAACTCAGGGACACGAGCGCCTTGACGCCGCCCGGTGCGGGGACAGAGGCGCAGAGCCCACGCGGGGCCCCACCCCACCCCACCCCACCAACCCGACCAGGACCCGCACGGTCGCGTTAGCGAAGGCCCAGGCGCTCTTGCTTTTGTTTTTCTTTATTTCTTTATTTCACATACACATTAGCCATTCAATGGAGAAGCCGGAGAGAGTCAGGCAAAGATGGTATAACAGAAGCGCAGTGACGGGGGCGGGGCGGGGCGGGGCGGAGAGGGGACAGACGGGCTGGCTGCCTACTTGCATTCCGCTAGGACACTGAAAACCCAGAAAACAAAACAGACAGTAAACTACCCTTGTTTCTTATGTATCTCAGTGCAGAGACGGGGTGGAGGGCAGAGAGGGGGAGACCAGGCCGAAGGGGGAGGAGAGGGGGGACAGGGGACGCTAAGGGGAAGCACACCAAATCCATTAGTACTATATATAGAGATACTCGTATATACTGCGTTTCTTAGCCTAAGAAGAAACTTGTTTGACGGGACGGGCGGCCTTTGCGGTCCGCAATGCTGGTGCTGGTCGGGCGCACGGATCTCCCGGGAGGGGCCGAAGCG